GATCACGTCACATCATTCTTTCTATTAACCTGCGTGTAGCAAATAAAACATACTACACGCTCAGCGGTAAAGCTGAGTAAGCATATCTAATGCGTCGAACATCCATATAAATTGTATCTCAATTCACAATCAAATCATTTGATATCATGCACATAATGTTCATTCAGATATTCAATAATCAATATTCAATTTTCAACATTCATTATTCAATCGTTCAACATGTATGTTCTTCATTTGTCATTCAACAATATCCTTAAACTATTCTTAGTCTAAGGCCAATCATTTTAATATTTGTAACCCTTAAATGAATTCTAGTTTAACTAATTAAACTATATTCCAGTATACTGAGTACTCCTAATAATCCTTAAGCTAGGCCTAGTTTAAGATAAAAGGGTTTTGGAAATCTTAAACTTACCTTCACTTAAGGCCAACCAAAAACCGACAGCGTAGTGTTCACTGTTGGGTGGGTGGTACCCCCAAACGAGTAGGTACTCAAGTTTGGTTCTTGGATCTCGTACGTACGTTTTAACCCTAGCCACCGGGGTTCATACCCGCAAGGCCTAACTTAAATAGGTATATCTTAGAGGTCTTCTAGATACCTTTCAAATCAACATTAATATGGGTATATTTTAGAGGTCTTCTAGATACCCTTGACAATACATATTATTTTCACAATCATCAATATATTCATTATGATTTAATCATTCATAATTACCATTTTTAATCAAAACATTTATCAAGACTTAATCATCATAATCACCAATCAATAATCATTACCATAATTATCAACATATTCATTTTTAATCAGTAGGTTCATTAATCATAATCATCAATCAACATAACATTTAAAGCAATAACAATTAGCGGTCTAGTTTCAAGTGTTAAAACCCGAACTTACCGTCATGCATCACATAACATTTTTATTTGTTAAAAACATCATTTTTATTGTAAAGAATCATCCTTAAAATAATCATAATCTATTGGTATCAAAAATAAGATTTTAGAGCTCAAAAATAGCAATTTCGGGCAAATTTTCGGATCAGAACTTCGGGGGATCGATCCAGCCTCTGGATCGATCCATACTATGAAAATTTACTCCCAGGGGATCGATCCAAGCCCCTGGATCGATCCAGACAGTGGCTTTTCAGCCACTGTTCATCGTCTTCTTCGTTCGGGTCCAATTTCGGAAATACGGTTTTTAGTTATTGAACTTCAACGAAACTATATAGAGATGTTCTCCAAGGTTCATAGATCATTTTGGAATCATTAATTCATACTTTTAACATCAATTTCATGGTTTATGATTTTTGGTTCTTCAAGCATGTCAACACACAAAACTCAACCAAACGACCGTTTATGAACGTAGAAACGATCTATACGAACATTCTAGTCACTAGATATATCTACGGGCTTATCTCGAAGCTTATCGAAGGTTTTGAGAATTTTCCGGCAAAACTTCCGGCGAGGATTGTGACTATCTCCGGCGACCTCATACCAATACGACAACACCACTGCGTTCTCCTCACTCCCAGCAACAAAATAGACAGAAAGTTTGTAAGAAATGGTGAGGAATTGAAGGAATGGAGATGACCCTTATATAGCCAAGTGAAGGAGGATGAAGACACAGTGATGACCTCTCCTTCGACTGTTTCGGCGGCTGGGTGGAGCGTGCTGCTGTCTTCTCCGACTTTAAACGTAAGTCCCTGATTGGGACTAATTTGGTCCTAGTCGGGGAACACTTTTTGGTCCAACTTTCTCCGAATTGAAATCCGTTTGCACCGTTGCGATCGTATAATTAAACTCTATCAAACGATATAATTTTCATATTTATTTGTAATACTTTTTCCGACATCATATTTTTGGGTGGTTGACTTTGACAGAGTCAAAATTGATTTAATTGACCTTTACTCAAAAAGGTTCTTACATTTCATTCATATTATTTATTCTCATGATTTATTCCAATAAATCATTTCAAAGTTCATATCATAAATAAATTTCTTAATTTATCCTTGATTTGGGTCTGTACTCAGGTTCCCAATCAAGGTCACACAGTAAGTCAACATATTGGATTAATCTCTATGAGATTTATCCGGATCATGATATTGGGTATCAAAACATATTTTATTTTGGCCCAAGGCCCAACAACAATTTATTTTTAATTAAAACAAATTTGATTAATTAATTAATAATTCATTAATAATTCTAGGGTATGTTTTGGGGCGTTACATACAGTGACCTTCCCACGGGCTTCCTATTTTGTCAATGGATGAACAGGGGAAGGTCACAAATCCTCCTCTATAAATATGATGATATTGGATAGAGGAGGGGATCCAATTTTTCTCTCACTAAAGTTCACTCTTGAGATAGAGTAAGAAATATAATTCAGACTGAGGAGATTTACCCGGTCTAGGTCATACTTTGTGTTCTTGTTGTGTGTTTTATATTACGGGTCGAGTGTGTCCAGGTCAAACCCGGTTAACCCACCCAGCTATATTTACACCATCATTTTTGGCGCCGACCGTGGGACCGATTTTTAAAGTTTTTCGACCAGGTCAAAACTTTACCCCCACTAAATATCCACAATCATGTCTTCGAGCAACTACAACGCTGTGTCAAGCTAGGCTGCGAGTGAAAGCACTCCTGCCATCCCATTGATGATGTCGAGCATGGGGACGACCTTTGCCCCGATCACCACTATAGGATCGATTGGCATGATCCCAATCATGTCAACCCCTACTCCTACGCCGACGAAAACAATGTTCCCAGGCTCGATAACAACGCATGGTGGAGCATTCACACCATACCCGTCAGCTTGGGCTCAGTTTGCTGCTGACCCGGCAAATGCTCAGGCTCTACAGGGCTATCAACAGGTGATGGCCATGATGCAACAGGCAGGAGGCTTCCTGCCATTTGCCTATCCTGGCATGACGCCACCAATCATGCCACCACCGGTGTCGACCCCGTCGACATTTGTCCCTAGGATGGTCCCTATACGCCCGGTGAATCTGACGGGGACCATGAATGAAGCAGCGCCCTCAAATGTCCATGAAATCGATGAGGCGGAGCAGGAGGCGGCCCGCAGGAGGAAGGGTAAGGCTATAGCCAAACCCATCAAGACTCGAGATTCGGCGTTCAAACGCCTAGGGGACAAAGAGGATGGACCCCGCAAGTCTGCCAAGCTACGTCTTGGTCCTGAGATGGGCCGGACTAGCGCAATGGAAAGACTAGGCGGGAGTCGTCACGCCCAATCCCGTCGTTCTAGGGAATCTGAGACGATTCACCAGGACGAGGAGGAAGCAGAAAGCCAGCCCAGGCCGTCGGCATATACCAGGCTCTCATACGATGAGGATGACCTGGACAAGATAGGGAGCGTAGCAAGGAAACTACGTGCCCTGGAGGAAAAGGTGGAAGAGAAGGCGGGAGCAAAGAAGCACACCCTGGCCAAATCACCTTTTTTGACCAGGGTACATGCACAAAAGTTGAGGCGGAAGATCAAGCTGGACGTGGAGAAATTCACAGGAAAAGAGGATCCAAACGTCCACCTTGACACCTTCCACAATGCAGCACAGATGGCCGGGTGCACTGATGCTGAGGAATGCCTACTCTTCTTCTCATCCTTGAGAGGGAGGCCAGTGGAATGGTTTAACGGCCTTCCCCATGGCAGGATTGGGTCCTTTGAGAAACTTGCCGAAGTTTTCCGCAAGAAGTACCAGGACAACTGCATCAAGAGGAAGAAGTTCACCTACCTTAACACGGTAGGGCAGAAGAAGGAGTCCTTGACTCAATTCTTGACCCGCTGGAGGGACGAGGTTGACAAGGTAGAAGAGATGGATGATAAGACGGCCATGTCTTTACTGATGAATGCCTTCCGGTCGGGTGACCTCTACACTGAATTCGGTAGAAGGCCACCATCCTCTTATCAGGAAGCCTACAATACGGCATGGGAATACGCCGAGGCGGAGGTCCTGAACAAGAGCAAGCGGGAGCTAGAGGAAGGCTATACAAAGGTGAAATCCGACAAGTCAAGGAAGGACGACCAGACGAGAGGATCCAAACTAAAGGCTACGTATGACGGGTCTGTCCATCAAATAAGGGATGATAAGAAGGGAGAGCAGTCCAAGAGGCCATGGACGGAGAAGTGGTGTACCTACCACCAATCTGACTCCCACAATACGGCGGATTGTCGGAATGTCAAGGCTGTGCTCAAAGAGATGGCCTTGAAAGGAGAGCTTGGGGAAGGTTACGCGACGGGGAATAAGAAGGACCCGAAAGCGAACACCTGGACCCGTCCTCGGGGAAAAGACCAGGGAAGGAAAAAATCCGGGAAGGATAACAACAATCCGGATAAAGAATTCATTGAGATGATTGTCGGTGGCCCGGAAGGCGGGGATTGTTAGGCTTTTTTTTAGTCTTTAAATTCCCTTACATTTACTAATCTTTGGGTCACCATTAGTGAGAATTTGGTTTAATTTAAGATCAAGAAAGAACGGTTACCATCCTAGAGGTTAGAGTGCAATTCTTGTGTTATTTTAGGTCCATTGGGTTAATTGTTAGAATCGGGCTAGACGACCCAAAAGTGAAAATAACCAACTCGGCCCATTAGTTAGTATAAGACTTAGGACATGAGAGGGAGAGACGAGGACGGAGAGGAGAAAGGAACGAGAGATTGGGAAGGTGAGATCGAAGAGTAAACCGGGAGAGTAATTCCGGCAACCAGGCATAATCCGGCGAGCTGGACCTCGCGATCATCATCATTCATCACACAATCACCAAGCGCTCCTCCCGATCAGGTGCTGAACCTGAACAGAGGAGTCATCACGTTCGTAGGATTTGATCCTCGAACGCTGTCCATAGGTACTTCGTTGTTTTTGTTTACAAATTTGAGATACAGTTTTAATGATTGAGGATTGTTTGAATTGTTGATTCATAATTGAACGTGTGATTTCGTGCTATTCAAATCTGAGTCCTAATCTCTTGTTTGGACAATATTTTCCTGTGATCATGTGTTTGAATTGTGAATCGATTATCATGATCATGTCCCGAGAGTAATCCCTCTCTTGTTTGGTGGAAATTTAGGATCAGTTCTCAGGAATTTGTGTTCGTTGCAATGATTTGAGGTTTAGACAGTTGCTGAAGGTTGTTTAATCCTGTTTTGTGCTCAGCTTCTTAAAACTGTTGATTGTAGGTCTCATGCCTCAATTATTCAGTCTGAAATTCTTATTTGGGGTTCAACAACGGACATATAGTGTATTTGGCTGTCCAAGTATATTGTATGTTCAAATGGATTTTTATAACTGAACTCATGCTTATGTTAATTTGCATCAGGCTCATCCTGAAGTTATTAACGTAGGTACAGGTCCTTAGGCAGTGCTCATCTCTCTTAAGGACTGATTTTTGAGGTGGAGATTTAGCTCCTTGCTGAGAGAGCTAAATCTCACTTTTGTTCAACAACTTGTTTAGCTGAGAATTTGATTTTTTTTACTTTGATCTGAGCAACTATTCCTAATTCCACCAGACAAGCCTGTTACTCCATTTGATATCCACAAACCTTTACCTGAACTTCTCTCTCCTTCTTTGATCTGTTCTCATAGTTTCTATTGAAATCTATTTTCATTACGTAGCATTAGCATCTTATGAACAACCCCCCCCCCCTTGCGTGTGTGTGTTGTGGAAACTGAGCAATAAATCAAGAGAAGAAATAATAGAAGACAAATCTCCCTGTGGAGGAATGACCCTACTTACCACTTTGCTACCATTTTTATAAGTGTGTAGTAATTGGGGAATAGGTTAATTTGTTGTCACCTGACAAGTGGCTAACAAATTTTGGCGCCGTTGCCGGGGAGATTTGATCTCTTCTATCTTTTTTAACTGTCATACTAGGTCTTTTTAAGTTGTTTTTGTGAACATCTGTGTCTTTTATACACTGATAAAAATTCACCAAAGTGCAAACTCTTCTCTTCTGCTGTGACTCACTGTTGAGTTGGCACTAACCCTTGTTTTAAGTGTTGTGTCAGTATCTGCCTTTTGATGCAGTTAAGAAGTGGTTTGGAGACCACAAGGGTAAGTGCTGATTTAAATTTGGAGAATCAGGTCAGTATATCTGAGATTGCTTCTTCTTTTGATTCTGAATTAGAATCTGAAACTGAGGTAATTGTTTCTCCTGTCAAATCACATAATAACATGGAAACTTTAAGGGAACTAGCTGCACCTGACCTTCAGACTCAGCCCATGTCCATTACTTATGCTGTTTTGGAAAAACCATTGAAATTAAACTCTGGATTTTTGAATATGCTTCCCAAGTTTCATGGCTTGCCTGGTGAAGACCCTTATAGACATGTTAATGAGTTCCTCATAACATGCGCAGCCATGGAACCTGAAGGAGTTCCTCAAGAACAAATCAGACTTAGGGCCTTTCCCTTTTCAGTGATGGA